CTTGATGCTTGAGTGCGAGCACTAAACACGTTTTTCTTTGTTCCGATACGTTCTCGTAATTTTAAGTTTCTGTTTACCTTAGAAGGGATTGTTTAGATGGATTCAAGATGTGATCACGAACATTTGCGTGCTTCTGTTTCAAGTAAAAAATCAACTGACGTATTCAAGAGAGAGAAGAACGAGTAATTTGACCCAGTTATTAAACGCGGGGAAAGTTTGCTTTTCTCCTTGATCGAAACAAAATATTTCGCGTTAGCGTATCTCATTGTCCTCTTGCCTTGAAATTTAGTCAGTAAGCGAAAATGTAAGTCCTGCACTTCACCAGAACTGTTGTAAAATGGGGAGAAGCAACTCCTAAATTGCAAATTGTTGCCTGTCAGTACAGGGCATCCAGGCGAAAAAGCGTGAGCATCTGGTTCGAGTTTGTAAATTTGAATTCAAATGAAAGTTAATAAAAGTTGAAAGTCGTCATAAAGTCACGCAGAACCCCGATGAATAATAACATTTGTCTTAAAAATAAACGCGCTTTCACTCTTGCTTGGGCCCAAAGACGGCGAATTTTGGTCATTTTGAAGATTCAGTGACGGACAATAGTCTGCAAAAAGTAAACAACAAGGTTAAATGTATGTTTGCTTTGATGCCAAGTGAGAGGATTCATTGCATTTGTCTTTTCGACGTTTTCATCCATTTCCTCTTAAATCAAAATATACAGCTACGTGTCACGCCGTTTGTGTTGGCTTCCTGCAATGCTAGAGACCAGATTACGACACCCTCAAAGTGGTGCTAACATTTGATCATAATACTTGAAAAGCCGACATTTATCTAGTAAAACTTGTCAGTGGTTTCCCTCGAAAGATAATTATTGGATCCTAATATTCAATTTTTTTGTTATCTATCTATTCTTGGCATAAACCCAAGGCGGAAAAAAATTGTTCCTTGCATGATTTTCCTTGGGACCCCTTCGTTAAACATGAGTGAAAAGTCCAGAATTGATTAATTTAACTCTTTTTAATTAAGTGTACATAGATAATCCTTAGTATTGGTATTTTTAAAAAGTGACTAAGAAACCCACCCCTCTCCTGCTATCCCCCCCCCCCCCCAAATCAATCGTTTCGTTAGCACGGGCAAACGGTCCAAAGCCTAAGGGCAGGACCAAAATGTTACAGCAACGGAATCGAAAAAGGACGTCAATCTTTAGGACAGATACAACGACGAAATCTGCGAACCGTTTTGATGATCTATTTTGCATTTCCTGAATGCTATCTTTACATTTCTACACAATAAATCCTTTATTAAAGATTCAGCTTGTTTACAAATCCAGTAAAAAAGTTTTTGGCCAATATCCATCTTTGACCTCACGCTTGGTCAATAACAGAGGGCTATTACTCACAGATATTGCCTGATCAAGCCAATATCCGGTTGACGTCATCCGCGCAAGTGTCACTCATCTCGGATGCTACTGTCATACATGACATTCCAACGAATTTAGAAACTTTATTTTTCTGAAGTACGTGCCTAAGGGTTCCGTTCCCTACAAATCGATGGATGATGCTTTGAATTTACAATTTGATGCGAGAAAAAGGCATCGTGTTTGATGGAAGCCGTCTGTAGGATATTCAAACAAATCGTTTTGGTGTCACGATCAGAGACGTAAGTTGAACAAATTTCAGTTTCTATCTTGGGTGTAATTTTGCATGCAGTATTTTTCCCCTAAGATCGGACTTGTTATGTTAATAATTCCTCACTCTTCACAAATCTGTCTAAATACAGTATCTATTGCGTGCATTTGTATCTTCAATGTTCTAAGTTCTATAATTTCAATATAGGATACTGTTCTATTTCGTACCAACGGGATGAATACGATAAACAATTTGATAGTTATTAGCGAGAGAGTAAATTTGAAAAATCCATTTCAGCAACGCTGGAAGGTTAGTGCTTTGCGGGGCGTTGGTCGTATTCGAAGGAACGTACTGCAAACTGTAAACAACCGGAAGTAAAAATTCTCCACAGAAGTTTCAAGCGGAAATTGAAAACAATAAACTCAGCCCTCCATCCAGTTCCCTGGTGTCTCCGGCTTTTTCAATCTTCAATACAGTCAAACCTGTATTAAGCGGTTACCCACTGGTTTTTTAATACCACAAGGTTAAAAAATTGATAAATTTTAATTCGCCAGACTAACTATATAAGCAATAAAACTGGAATCTACAATTCAAGAACGACCGCTTACTGAAGGTTCCACAAAATGGGGCATTATGTAATACCATAAATATTGTCACTTTATGCCTAATTGACCCCTTCAAATACCAGAATTCGCTCAAAAATACTACAAATATTGTTTTCAGGAGAGAAATATGGATTAAATTTTACTTGGAAGATTATTTTTAGTTTTATTTGAGTGGTTTCGCTCGGTACAGGTGGAAGATGATATGCAAACCCTTCCTAAAAGGGGAAAATGACTTGAAGTGTTAAACTTATAAGCACAGTCTGCTTTATGGATGAACACCAAATTGACTTCAATGTTTATACAATTTTTCGTGGATGAATCATTCTGAAAGAAATTTTCAGAAATTAGCATGGGACCATCGAAGAACAAAACGTCACGTGAAACCAATCAACAAAGGCAGAAGTTTGTTTACAATCATTTCTATTTTAAGAAATTGTTCAATTCTTCGAAAGATTCCCTCTATTTTTGTACCTTGGCATCTTTTCAGACAATGGTGATGTATATAAATACTCAGCTATCTATTTATTAACTAGAAAATGGTATCGAAGGCCTATAAAATCAAAGAGGTATGTAATTTTCTTGTTTTTGGGTCGTCAATTCTCTTCAACACAAGTTATTTACTTGATATTTTGCATTAAGTATTCAGATGTGCTTAAACGATGAATTCTGTTTGATTCATTGTCTGTTTCCGTCTTCCGGTTATCTGAGGTAAATGAGAGATTTGAAGGAAAATAAAAGAAGCATTTCTTAAATTTTTGCCTTGAAAAGAAATTAGGATGTTGCGTTTAATTTTAAATTCGAATGAAAATCGATACTACGAGATCTATAGCGAGTTGAAGAAAAAACCATGAACACCCTTCTTTTCAGAAGATATTCGTCTTCCTGCATCTCTAACGAACCAAATATATTTTCAGCGTTATTTTTCTGAGTTGATTTCTAAGTCATGATGAAACATGATGGTCTATGCAGAAAAGATAGGAAAAAATGAGGCGAGTCAGTCGACAAGGAAGCTTTTAACTTCCTCGATAAATAGAGACGTTTACAATTGACAAGCTGAAAGTTAGTCGTAAATTATGCATTTTAAAATCCACTACATCTACCATAACAATACCTCAAGCAAATTTGGTTTCGAAAGTAAGACTTGAAACCTTTTGCTACTCAAAAAATTCTCGCGATTCTTTGCAAGGACGAAAATTGCTGTGAAAGATTTTTTCCTTTGTGAACAAATTTGTCGGGTGAGATGAAATGACGTGAATATCAACTATATTTTAAGAATAGTTGTAAATTTGTATTATAAGTTTTGCATCGTCATTTCTTTTGTCAGGTGAGGCACGCGATTGTATCACGTTTTAAATATATTAAAATTAACTTCTTAGCTGATAGTCTTTGGAAACCCGCTGCCTTCAGCAGAAAGCTTAGAAAATTATAAAGAAAAAAACTTTGAATTTTGTTATAAAAATGTAACAGTACTTTCTTGTTCTAATTAATCGTTGTTCGTGTTTATGTTAAATAAAATTACGAATGAAGATCGAAATGATTTCGGACTTAAGTTCTTTCAAAAAACAATTATACTACATTGCTTTGTATTCGCCTTTTGGTGCACCTGCGCATCGGTCCTTTTGTGATGTTATCCTATGCGGGCAATGATGATTAAATCTTCCTGGTAGAGACCTTTTCTGGAAATAACTTCTCAGGGAAGTTGTCAGCTGAACTTGCGTCCGTAAATAAGTTCTTTTCATACGTTAATTTTCTTCGTTGCTACTTGCTCAAACTTAAAACCAGTACGCATAGATAAGCAGAAATTTTTTAATTAACTGCTTACTCAGTTTACTTCCTACGTTGCTAAGATTTATACTTTTAATTTCGAAGATGTGAGTTTAATCTCCGTTCTCTTATAGTTCGTGCATTCCGAATAGATGGAATATCCAAGAAAAATCGATAACTTTAAACAGCATTCGCTTCTTTTGTGATACTATCTAAATATTTTAAATTTGGGATACAATAGAATCAGTGGCTCGATAGTACCTAAGCAAGTTCATTGTGAAGCCTTTTGGATTACATAGTTGATTACGCTTGAGGTCAAGTCAGTTGTCGCCATAAACTGAAATAAAATTTTTGTTGGAACCCAATTGAGTATGATCCTTGACGTCCGAAGTAAGTCCGCCGAAGCAGGACCCCTGTATCCGGAAATGGTGACGAATTTCTGTTCTCGCAGCTAAGCGGTGCTTACCAAGCCATTTCCCCTGATATTGTTACGTTCCCTGCAAAAGTCCAGTTGTGGGCGAAAAACCTATCGTTATAATAATTCGGTTAAATTTATCCAACTTCTGGTTAACTGAAAATTGCATTGAACGTCAGCAAGATTCTTTGCATGCAGAGTTTCATCATTTAAAACAACACAGCTCTGACTAGTACTTATAATTTTCTCAACACTTGTGATAGATGAACAAATTAGAACTTCTAGCTGAATTTGTTTTTATCTCTCTTAGGTGTTTCAGTTAATTTTCGTGTTAACCGTTTGGGATTATCAACATCGATTAGGGGTCACTGGTGACTGAAAACTACGTTGCGTTGCTGCAAAGGAAATAGGAAAAAGTATTCAAGCTCACAGGAGAGTCCATGTGGAATTACTTACGGGGCAAAGTCGGGAACTTTCTCAGGTAAGGTGTT